GCACGAGTGCGAGCGGGCTTGCCTATCGCCCCTGTCCACGGCGCCTTACGGGCCGGGCGGGTAGGCAACCCGCCCGCACTCGTGCGTGCGGTACAGTCTAACTACAGAAGTGCGCGGGGTTAATCAGCCACCTGGTAATGAAGAGTAGGCCTACAACAAGCCACTAGTCACAATTTCTCAGGGTTTTTTTTTTTTACGGAAGCGCCTGAAGCCAGCCTTTGAGGAAATATTTCACCTCCCGCATACACCCGGGGCACGTCCCCCCACCCTCCTCTATTCCCGGGCCGGGACCCAAACCATTGGCTCCAAAAATAGGTCCTGGACCAACGGCTCAACCACTCCTGCCGCCACTCAACAGAGAGCGGTTACGCCCCGGCGCGCTACCCCGCTACGCCGCGCCACGTCTCTGAACACAACAAGGGCCAGACGAAGCCCTGCAAGAGCGTCACTGATGCTGGGTAGCGCCCTAGCCAGCCCTAGTAGCACACTGCCCTCGCAGGGCATACCTTCGTGGCTCTCCGGTGGCCCCCCAGCGCACTGGTTAATCGCATTGGCTTAAGCTGACTGAAGAAACTGGCACTAGTTTCAATTAGATCCATTAGATCTTCGAAATTCATCACCTCGGAAACGGGGGAAGCTCGCTCAGGTAACTGTTCCATGTTTTTTGGAGCTTTGAGGAGCTAAGCGACTCCGCCGGCAGGGTAATGACCTCTGCTTCTTTGCAAAGCCCGCCGGAGTTGGCAGTTTCACCAACAGCCACTAGTTTTGAATAGGGTAATTGGGGTGACGACAGTCGTCAGAGGACATAAACTTATGCAAGCAGTGCTCTCGCCAAGCTACCGATATCTTAAAAGGTACCTAACCTACCTTCCACGGCAGAGCGTTCTTCATAGTGTTATCTGAACCTTTCCATGAATGAAGTGTTATTTGGAACGTTTTCCTAAATGAAAAGAAAAGTACAGTCGTTTACGCCTTCAAAAGTGTACCTCCTTACTTTTCACACTTTTCCTCGAATTTGTTTCATTTTATTTCCATCCTTTTTCAAACTATTAAAGAATTTTACATTTCCCTCCCTCTTTTTATTACAGACATGGCAAAGGATTTCCCCTTGTTTGCTACACTGCGAATTCTTTCGGTGATAATTGTGCAAACTGCATACGTTCCCGATGAATATTGGCAAAGTTTAGAGGTTGCTCACAAATTATCGTTTGGGTATGTAATCAGTTGTTTACGTCATCTCTTTCCATAAATTTTGTTTTTCTGCATACTTTTGTCTACCATAAACCATTTTTCACTTGCAGTTATGGCTATCTAACGTGGGAATGGCAAGAGGGCATTCGAAGTTACGTGTATCCCCTTGTCCTTACAGGATTGTACAAGTTCCTGTCAATTCTGGGCTTGGACAACGTCAATATTCTTGTAAGTACTTTAGATAATCTGTATAATGCAATTTATTAAAACACAATATTAAACACATTTTTCGTATCAGGTCATCACTCCTCGCATCCTTCAAGCGCTTCTGACAGCATATGCAGATGTTTCCATTTTGGCTTGGATACGAAATCCTGCATATGGTCGTTCGCCTTGGGCTAAAATTACAATTGTAACTTCATGGTACTTATTCTATGTTGGCTCAAGAACTCTTTACAACACTATTGAGGCTGATCTCATTGGGATTGCATTGGCTCAATATCCCTGGCCAAATTCTAAAACTTCAGGTCAGGTTCCATTTGAATACATCATACTCTTTAATTATTTAATATTAATGCAATATGGAGTGTTCAGTTTTATAGTTGACTGGAAGTGGTTTTACTGTTTGAGTCTGCTTCAGTTACCACAATGGGTATTAATCAAATCTCCATCTTTTTGTCTATCTAGGAAGCAGCAAATACTTGGTATGGGGTGGTTTGGCTTGTATCATCAGGCCAACTGCTGCAGTTATATTACTGCCCCTCTTTGTTTACCAAATTGTCACCAGTGAAGAAAGATTGAGAGTTATCCTAAAAAGTGTCATCATTGGGTTAGGAATTTCTTTTTCCAATTTTTCACTGCTCTAAATTTTATAAATTTTTTGGAAATTTTTTAATATTTATTAATTGTTTCAGATCCTTTGCTGCTGCTTTAGTATATTCTGTGGACACATATGCCTCTGATAGGTCTACTTTCAGTCCTCTAAATTTCTTTACAGCAAATATTTTGCGAAATGTTGGTAGCTTTTACGGTGAACATCCAGGAGTGTGGTATTTAACGAATGGCATACCTATGCTGCTGGGCATTCAGATTTTACCATTTTTGTTTGAAATTTATAACATTGTGAGAGGTCCCAACCGGCAACCATATGATGTTCTCATGATGGTTGTATTTTGGTCCACAGTTTTCATTTTCAGGTACTGATTCTAGTCGAGCTTAAGCTTTATTTTGTTCATAAAATTTTCTTGCAGTTGAAATTATTTTTTGCTTCTCAGTTTCCAGCCCCACAAAGAAACAAGATTTCTCCTTCCTCTATTGCCCATTGCATTGTTTTGGTCTGCTGGTGGTTTGAGTCGATTTGAGAGAAGTTCAGTAAAACAGTAAGTTTTATTTATCATTTATAGAATCAATGAAGAATTCCAGATTTCATTTTTTTACTTTTGTGACTTATTTGTATTCTTTCTGTCAGAACTTGGGGAAGAGCTCAAACATTTGTGAACCAACTTTCTCGGTTTCTTCCTTGGATTCTTTTGATCTCAGCATCTATCCCTGCTTTGTATTTTGGCCTAGTACATCAGCGAGGTACATTAGATGTCATGCCTTGGCTTTCAAATCGTGCCAAAACATGCCCTGATCAAACAAGGATACTTTTCCTCATGCCTTGTCACTCAACACCATTGTACAGGTAATGTTTGGATGCAGTAAGTTTAAGCATGAGCTAATGGCACATATTTATTCTCTTCAATTTTTATTTCTAGCCATTTGCATGTCAATGTTCCCACACGTTTCCTCACATGTGTACCTGATTTACAAACTGTACCTGACCCTGGATATGTTGATGAAGCGGATTTATTTTATGCTGATCATGTGGCATGGCTTGCGAAAGAGTTCCCAGAGGTTTGTAAACTTAATAATTGTTACAATTGTACTCTAACACACACAATAGCAGTGCTCAAACCTCCTTTTATTGCAGACCAAACCAGACCTCTTGTATTCACACATTGTCCATTTTGATGTGTTGCAAACAAAGCTGGATCCATTTCTGAAATGGGGGAAATACTCAGAAGCTGCCTCCTTTTTCCACTCTCATTTTCCCTCAGAGAGAGTTGGCAGTAGAGTTGTCGTGCAGGAACGAGCAGCATCTTTGACAGGCTGCTCTATTGGAACAGCGTAGTGGTAAATATATTTTAAGACTGACAGATTTAAGGAATATTATGCATAATGGGACCATATGTTTGTTATTGTGAGTAAGTTTTGCCATTTGAACATGTTTTCTTGTTGTTTTTATTTTACTAATGACAAGTTAGATCTCCAGTAAGTTGTTAATGCTATGTTTGATGTGAACTTTAATTTATCTATTTTGGGATTGATTGTTTGGTATGAATAAATATCTTTTGTTTTAAAATTTTGCCTCAATTAAGTATTGTTTGGCGTGCTCCAATATTATCTGGACGTAATGAGAGAAATCGGTAGCCGGGTATGGTGACGGCACACATCGTTTCTCAGTCAGTCATTATATACAATTTTATTCAAAAATATTCTACAATATGCAAGCATCAGCCACAACACAAAAAATATAGATTTCAAGCAAATGTAAGCAAAGGGGTCAAATCTTTTATTTTAACCCATGACTCAGTATAAAGATTGAGACTTCAACATAAATAAATTATAACAGACAGGTTGTATAGTAATAAAGAAGATAACAATCATGTACACTTGCTATAAAGCTGATGAACACCTGACCAGATTATTTGATGTCGATAACAATATTGGAGGAAAAATCTCCTATATTTCTCCCATAAAACAATAAAACAACATAATATACACAACTTGGCACAATCAATATAGGGACTCCTAGGTTTACAGCACTGAAACCCTGTGAAAAGGAAGTGGATTAGAAGACAGCCGATGGCTTGTCTTTACCAAGCCATGAGAAGATTCATTGATTTAAATAACCAAATGCAAAAAGAAAAGAAAAACAAATGCAGCCAATATAAAATAATACAGGAGACAGTCTTAAATGCCAATTGTAGGGACCATATGATAGATAAAAAAAATTCTCACAAACTACCATGAAATGAAAATAAAGGCATACAGAAAGCATCTGTAATCTGTTTTTTTACTAAACACTCATTTGGCACAGACTGTCTCACACCACAAGAAAAAGTAAACATCCAACCATGGCACTTAATTTATCTTTCACACACATACACTCAAGTGAAAAATTCATTCAATAAA